TTGCTAAATTAGTATGAAAAAGAAAAATCTCAGAGAAGTGGTAGAACAGTATAATCAAATGTTCTTCACCTCAAACCTCTCTGTGATAGATTTTCCCTTAATAGTATTATATTAAGGTTGTAATAAGAATCAAATATTAAAGAGTGTCTCTGTGGGTGTTTGCATGTTACAACCTTATCTATATGGTTGTGGTCAGTCATTACTCTAATGTTGGTTTTAGTTTATCTAATTTGTACTGTTGTATTTGTTGCAACTAATAAATATGTTTTTTCGTATCGAATGTTTAAGATTAACTTAATTGTACGTTATTATAGATTTTATTATATATATATATTAATACATATATTGGCTATTGATATTATTTGTATGAGATTTTGTAGACAGTATGAATCATACTATTCAATCAAGGCTCATAAACGGTACAGCCTATGTTGGAGATGTTTTATTCATTAAATATTGATATTGGTTAATAATGACATTGAATGATGACATATTCATCTATTAATTATTTTTCCATAAAAAATATCATTAATAGAAAATTTTTTCAATTGGTAAAGATTTGAATAACACATTTGAATCCCACTATTGATATATATATATATATATTTGTGTGTGTGGATTTTATTTGTGGGCATTCTGTAAGTATTTTTATAAGTGTTTTTTAAACTTGCGAGACTAAACTGATCTCAAACTTTCATTATCAAAAAATATTTTTTTATGAAAACGTACGTGGTCCACTAAAATAATGTGCATGTACACGGTGCAGAAGCGTGGTGGCTGAAAAAAAACATTAATGCCACATTTCATTCCAATACAATTACGAAAGAACTTATCTTTTTATATGAAAAATAAAATATTTAACAATAATATTGTTATTTAATGATAATTGGGAGCACAATCAATGCTTATCAAAGGTGTAATATAAATTATAAATTTAACATCTTCACACGATCAAGTCAAATGAGTCAGACTTTAACGAGTTATTACAACCAAAATTAAACATTAATAAAAAATAAATAAATCTAGTTTTCTAGTGTGATACTAAATACTAAATAATTAGTATTATTTTTATGTTCAAAATGTTTGTTATTCCAACCAAAAGCTTAGTGTTATTGGGGGTATAAGGCCATCACCATGTACGTATAAAAAATTTCTTGAATCTCATTTGAATGTGCATTCGGAGAAAGTAGACGTCTGGTAGCTTTAGTTAGTTATAAAGATGAAGCGTGGGGATATAATGCATTGCTGTATTCTATTGCTCATTTTGCAAATTATGTAAATATATATTTTGTTCTCCGATCATGAGTCCCTTTTATAAAAACCAAAAAAAAAGAGTCAATATCATCTTTAATTCCTGAAATTTGATCATATTTTGATTTTGATTCCTAAAATCTAATTTGAAACCAATGATTTTGATCCTGAAAGTTGACTTCATTTTAATTTTTCAGGAACCAAAAATATTATTCAATATATCACAAACTTTGGATGGACCAAAATCACTGGCTTCAAATATCAGGGACCAAAATTAGAAGGCTATAGTATACATTTGATCTTTTAACTTTATATAATATTTCAATTTAGTTTCTTAACTTTAAAAAGTATAATTTTAGTCCTTTAATTCTAAAATTATTAGTCTTGAATGATAATTTTTTTTGTAAAAATAATTATTTTAAAAATTAAACTTAATATATTAGTATTTAGTAATTTTTATCAACACGAAAAGCTCAATATCATTATTTTTTGTTAACGATTATAGAGTTAGAGGACTAAATGTTTACTTTTTAAAATTAAAAGAATAAAGTAAAACATTGTATAAAGATAAAAAAAACTAAAAGTATACTTTACCCAAATTAAAATGAGGTCAAAGTTCATATTGACCAAAACTATTAGTTTTAAATTTCTGTGAAACAAAATCAAATTTTAGGGATTAGCAATGGTGTTAATTTTTAATTTATTATAGTTGAGAAAATATTATTATCATGATTGACGCTAGAGGAATGAGACGATGAAAATTAAATTAAAGGCCAAAAATTACATGAAGGACATGCATAATCAAATAAGTCCGTATAAAATTTAAATTTAAATAATTAATTATAAATAATTTAATTTTCTAATTTAATAAAGACAAGGTACCTTAAGCATAAACTTTTAAGCATTCAAGTATTATGTAAATTATATTTGATAACTTTGTAAATATAATTCCAAATAATATTATTCTATAAATTTGATTAAAATTTGAATTTTATATATAACGCTAAAAATATATAAATATAACAAGATTATAATAAAAATAATTATTCTAACATGAAATATATGTATTAGAAACAATAAAATATTATTCTGATACAATAAGATGGTCTGAACCTTATGCCTCTATCCACGTCAATTTTTACAACTCGAACCAGCTCTAGGCGGCTGCGGTGCAAAAAATACTATATTGATTCTCATGAATTACTTTTTTTAATAATTTCTTCTGCAGTGAGAGTGTATATATTTTTTCCAATATGTGCGTGTGCATGAATGAACATCTCGGCTGGCCTGTTTGAGGTTGTAGGAGCTCTATTATTGTTTTTAATATTAGATATTGATTCATATCAATATTGATTGTAATAAATAATTTCTTCCATCTTTTGAGCAAAACAAAATAATTTCTTCCACCCACTCCAAACCAAGATGATTTATTCATTATTCAATGAAACGAAATTCGTTGGTACTCTTGGACCTTAGCCGTTTTGAAGGGACTCGACGTGATTTTAGATATTGAGAATTAGAAATCGGAAAGAGGTAACAATTATTATTGATTATCAATTAATAAACAAAACGTAGCTCGAATAGCTTTGACCTAAATGGAAATTCCTAACAACTATTTATATGATCATAGATATAATTCATATGTGTGTGTGTGTGTGTGTCTCATCATTCTTAAGTAACGGAATCATTCTTGAAACTTCTCATCAAAATCATAATGTGTGTTTGTTTTTTACGTTTTATAATCAGTGTGTTTGACTAAAAATAATATTTTGTATGTTAAATAAAAGACATATGATAATATGTAATTGAAAAACTTGACGTAATGAATATAAGCATCTTTTTTAATAAAATGAAAGAAATGTCAACATTGTCTTTTACTCGTAAGGGAAAGCCAGCTATAACTTATGTGTCATAAACAATTAATCTTCATTGGAATCGCTTGATAAAAGATAATTGCAATTAATATTTAATTACTCTATAAATTATACTCTCCATCAAAAACTTAACCATCACTCTCCAAGCTAAGAGCCATGGCAACAAGAAGTCTGATTAGATGTTTCTGTTGTGCTTTTCTTTACACTCTTCATCTTTGTTATTCCTTCTGAAGGCATGTATTGTATTTCAAATTCGAACAATAATCAACTTTTGAATTCTCACATCAATAAGTTTTTCTGTTATCTTCATATTTATATAAATGTTTTTATCTTTAACTTTGGAAAAAAAAAGTTTTTATATCATCCTGATGCATGACTTATAAAGGCCATTCATATAGTTTGATGCTTGACATTTAATTTGCACTTTTTCCCCCTTTTTTTATATAAAAGGAAAAACTTCTTCACGTTTTCTTCTTGAAATTTCATAACATTATATTTTTTTAGGTCTTTTTATAATTTTTCCATTGGTCCAAGACTCTAATCATATCACAACATTTCAAAAACATTTATTCACATTAACATAATGACCCGCATACGCAATTTCTACAGCAAAATGAAATTAATAAAAGGTAGTTATAATTTGAAAAGAAGAAAATGAAATTTTTGAGAAGTGACTATTTAAAGTGATAAATGGTCAAAATAAAAAACAGCGTGTTAAAAATTCACATTCTCATTTTGTGTATATATTATCCATAGAATTCTTTCCGGGTGTATCCAAAAAAAAAATGCTATAGAATTTCTTAAAAACTCTTTCCAGTTCTTCTTTTAAAAAAATTACTTATCCGTTATTAATTACTGCTCTTTTTACATTCTTATTTTTGTTTTATGTGTATTGAAAATTTTATAAGTGTAATTAATGTTGTGGACCAAAACAGAATTAGTTCCAAAATAACCATAAATATAAATTATTGTCCCTCTGACAATGGATTTTTAGGCCAATCCCACTGAAAAGATTTTCGTCTTCAGATAAAGAGAAATGGAGAAAAATAACGTTGGAAAAAACGCATATAATAAAAATATTTAATTTTTAACATCACTTGGCACTAGGATGTATATCCCAGTGGAAGTTGTAATGTTTAAGATTTGAGATTCAGTTAGTTCAATTATTTAGTTATTTATTTTGTTATGTCTGCACTATCTTACATTAAAATAAAATATTTAAGTTATATATAGATTATTTTTTTCTAAATTAGGGTTAAGATTACAGGCTGAATTATTTTATATTTAATATTTTGCTTGGTATCTGTAATTTTATTTTATTTTTTAATTAGATGGGCAAACAATAATAGTATGAAGTTACAAGTATCGGATCGAATACAAAATCCCCCTTGTAAGATCAGCAATTCCATGCAATTGCTTTGCAAAGTCCTCTCTTGTCATTGGCTTCAGGTCCCTTAGCCTCTTCACAACAACGGAACCTCCTCCGTTCAGCATAGCCTTATAACTGTTCCCCATGATTCCCTGACCCAGGGCCTCTGCAGAAGCTTTTAAGAGTTCATTCATTTGAAACTTTGGTTCATCTGTAAAGAATATAAGCTCCTTCTTCTCTTCTAGTGCCATCGCCACTGGACTGTGATGATTTATCGTTTCGACCTTGTCAACAGTACTTTCCACTACATCTTTATTAATAGTGGGAATCTGCTGCATCATAATATTGTTCAGCTTCTTAACTGTCTTGTAGTAAAGAAAAGCTTGAAAGATTATTGTAAACACGAGAACCACATTGAAATGACTAGAATAGTGGAAGTGTTATCTTTATTTGAGATCCAGTCCGGTTCTGGGCTCATCGTTTTCTGGGTCATCTGCTGGTGCTGCTCAAATCGCAGCTTTCAAGCTTGAGCTGCAGGAATTGAGAGGAGGACCACATAATCTGGGGTTGCCAGAAAACGAATCAGGCCCCAGTGATGGAAAAGTTCGAGTTGCTCTGATGCTGCCATGAAGATCATTGCCCGACACATTGATCATCTTCAAACTTGGTTGACAGAACGCCGGAACTGGACCAGTGAGCTTATTATCTTGCAGCAACAACGCTTCCAAGAGGTTAAGATTCAGAAGGGATATTGGTATTGCCCCATCTAACTCATTGCCTGACAAATCAATATACTTCAAGTGATTATTGTCGGAGAAATCCATCAAATTTCCCTTCAGGGAATTGTTCTTGAAGCTCAGAATAGACAATTCTGTAAGATTGAAGAATGCCTTGGCATCGATTTCTCCGGTTAGCTCCATACCTTCAAGTACTATCCCAGTAACTCGACCACTGGCACACTGAATACCAAACCATCTTGACGTTTCAGTCTCGTTGCAGAGGAAGCCAATCCAGTTACTATTCAGAAAAGGGTCGTTGAAAGTGGCCTTGAGACCATGAAGAGCATCTTTCTCCACAGGGTTATCAAAAGGACTAGCTTGAGCCATGCCAATTATGTTCATTAATTGTGCAGCAAGAAGTATAGCAAGGAGAACATGTTCAAGAACAAAAACTGGAAACCCCATGTGTTGGATTTTGAGTTTGAATCCGCCCTTGATGAGCCGGATTATTTGACTGGATATTAAGAGAATATACTGGTTAAATATCAAAGCAAGGTTAGGATATGTTTGACTCAGTCAAACATCCTGAATCAAATCCAATCAGTTACGATATAAATTTAATTAATTTGTATTGTATATAAATTTAATTAATTTATATTATATAGATTAAATATATATTAAGTATATATATTTAGAATTAATTGTGATTGATTCTGGATTTGAATTCAAATATCATGATATTATAAGATAAAAATATATTTATATATCCTAAATCAGATTTAACTTGATGGGCTCAGTAGATATTTTGGCTTTCCAAAATACCCCTGACAACAGCTATAAATAGAGGTTTCCACCTATCAGTTCAGCAAAGAGGTGCTCTGCTGTGCACTCAAAGATTAAACTTTTATAGTCTAGCTTATAGTGTGAGTTCAGAGGATCTGACCGACCTGACTCGAGATCCAACCTAGTACGTTTCCCGATCCATTATCTATTTATTTTAACACCATGAGCTTCAAATTGAAAGAAATCTAAGTTGCTCTAGGACATGAGACTTAATCACGAGTAAGGATGACCTCAGTGAAGTGAGAGATATTCCCATATGAACTCCAAGATAGGTAACTAGCTAGTCCTGGTTATTCGAAGATAACAAGGGAATCTAACCATGCATTATTCTCCTGTGATTACAAGGTAGTGCTGTTGTGCATAGTTTAGCAGATTTCAACAGAAACAGCTACATACGAATACATACGAAGCAGGCGAAAATGATGTTTTTGGCTTTATCTTGTGCGTATGACCTTCAAAATATATTTCCTAGGAAGCCGATATTATTTTAGTGTTCCGCAGTTAATATGTGGAATGCGTGCATAAAAGTCAGAGGCAAAAACGAGTTAACTCGTCCAAACGCGAGAAACGAACTAGGCTGTCGAATGTGGGACCTAATTAGAGAATTAATATTATTGGTGCTATATGTAAGATTATTTTACATGTTCATAAATTTTTTTCAAATTAATCCTATTGATATTTTTCTAACAATAATCAAGTAGGAGAGGAAGGAAGAGAATTAAACATGATGTTTAAGGAGTTTTAGAAAAAATATATCATACTACTATTAGCTAATTTAAATAATATTATTAATCTGCTCAAATTAGTTAATAGGTCTTACATTAAAGACGGAAAGTATATATTCTTTATCTTATTGCTGGGTTTTTCTTTTGTTGGACTATTATTCTTGTTGCTTTTACTTTGATTGCCCAGTAACATTTTTCGGGTGACTTTTATTAGCGTGAAAAAGGAATGGAAAACAAACAATCTCTGATATGGTTTCCCAAGTTGACGGTTTTCCTAATGGAAAGTAGTAATGATATTTTACACACACAAACACTTTATCTTGTCCTCTAAGTAACAACTTATTTTCTTTAAATGGGCGTTCTCTTTGTAAGTTATGTTTTGGAAATGTTTTTTTAATATATTTTTACTTTTAATTAATTATATCTCTATTTTAATGGAGTACATTCCATGCTCATTAAAAAAAAGAAAAGAACATGGTGTACTCATCTTAATATGGATTATCCATTTAATTTAAATAATTTTTATATTTTAAACAAAGTTGGCTTTAATAAATATAAAAAATTTAAACAAAGAGAATATCATAAGTGATATCTTAAAAAAATAATTTTGTTATTGAAAGATTACAAATTAAAATTATAAATTTGAATTGTCCAAATTAGATTTTAAATGTTTTGCCGTGAAGTAAGAAACAAGAGCCCATTATTTTGTCATTCATTCTCTCAAATTTTTCTATTCACTCTCTCTCTCTCTCTCACTCATCTTCTCTATAATTAAAGGTGCATGCGTTTAAAATAAAACGACGACATAAATTTTTTTTTTATATTTATTATCGTTTACCGACATTTTAGTAATGATTGTGTGGCATTAGCTTTCAGCATCGTAAAATAAATGAATTTTTTCTCTTGGAATCCACGATAAAGAAATTATTTTATATGGAACATGTCATGTCACTTCATTCGTCAAGGCCTTTTTAGATAGCTAGAGAGACAATAATGATAAGGACACGAGAGAGAGTATAGACAACATAATATTTTTCAGAAACTATTTATAAATCATTTTTAATATATTTTATATAGATAAAAAATTTTAAATTTTATTAATTTTTATTTAAAATTTAACTACTGTCTAATTTTATTCCTGTTTAATACTTTTTTGGTCCTATTTATAGGACAGAAAGAGAAGATAAATTTTGATCTTATTTATAGGGTACTGAAAGAAATTTTTTGTATAGATGTACAATTTTACTCTTCACTTATTATTGTGTTGACTTTATTTATATGAGGTATAATGTATACTAAATAGAGATAAAGTTGAAAAGTTGTTGAATTTTAAATGAGAGTTAACAAAGTTTAAGGTTTTCTTAGTCTGTATGAAACATGTTAGAAGAGACTTATAAATAGGACCAGAAGAGTATAAATTATTCCCCATATAAACAAATTCGACATAATAATATACGAGTGGTAAAATTGTATATCGATACAAAAAATTTCTTTTAGTACCTTATAAATAGGACCAAAAAATATCTTCTCTCTATCCTATGAATAAGATCAGAGGAGTAAGGCCTATCTTATTTTTGCATGTACCTATTTCTTGCATCATTGTATTCCCTTCTAAATCCTAATAGAAGTAAAGAATTTTTTGGCTTACAAGCCAATGCAAAATAATTAATGCTTATTTATCAATTTTATCTTTTAATTATTTTTTATAATTTTTCTTCTTTAAAATTTTATACAATATAAATAAAGTTGAATTTTTTCATAATTTACTTGAAGGGTAAATTCACTACAAAAAAACAGGAAATTAATGTTCCATTACTAATCCGTGACAAATTATGTCACTAAAATTAGCGATGAAATTTCATGACTGAATTTTTTTCATCACTAAATTAATGATGAATTAGTGACAAAATTTTATTCTGTAGCTAAATTCAGTCACTAATCCATCATTGATTCTGTTCTAAAAGAATCAGTAACAAAAATTAGTGATAAAATTTTACTGTCATTTATTTCCCTTACTAATTAGTCTTTAACTCACCTCACAAAATATTTCATGACGAAATTAGTGACAAAAAAAATTCGTCACTAATTTTTGTCACTAATCTGTCTCAAAAAATTACAATATAAATATATAATAATTATTTTTAATATTTATTATTAAAATAAAAATATAATATAGGATAACTTTTCAATCATATATTAGAAAGATAAAAATAAAAATATTATAAATAAAAATAAAAATAAAAATGTAATATAATTATTATTTTATTTTATATTTAAATAAAAAATATTAATTATTAATTATTTTTAATAAAAAAATTAAATTGAAATAAACGATAATATATTGAATTATATATAATATTTATTATATATATTTGTATTTATAATTAGAAATATTACATATTTATTTTTATATAAAAATTTTGCAGGTATTTTTTTCGCTGAACTCACAAAAGCTTTAATATGCACATAGGAGCTCTACCGTTCAAACCACCACTCTTTCATGAAAATTGGCTCAATCTATTAAGTGATGATGTGGCAACTTAAAATGATGGTCATGTGATATTGACATGGACGAGGGATGACATGATATCACTGATGATGAGAGAAAGCAATGATATGGTGATTAGACAATGACATGGACAAGAAATGACATGACTGCATAGGAGAAAGAGAACGAATGATGAGATGGAGAGTAGTGATAACGTGGGGATTACTATATGGTAATTTAAATTTATAAAATAAAAACAATTTAGCAATGAAAATTAGCAACAGGGAAAATTCTGTTACTAACTAAATTCTATTACTGATCTGTTGCTAATTTTGATTAGTGATAAAAATTTTATCACCAAATTCAGTGGCTAATTTATTATTATTTCTTTTAGTAAAAGGGGTAAAAATACATATAATTTTACCCAAAGTGCATCTAACACTATATGCTTTTCAAAGGTGTAATGCAAAACTACCTAGAAAAGAGAATATTTTATTTTAAATATAAAATTTCAATCTATTTTATTTTTTAAATTTATAATTGTTTTCACAAGATATTGTTACTGATTGCATATATTATGTGAAGTTTTATTAAAGGCAATTCTAATGCACTTGATTAAAAATAGTGTTTTATGAAAATTAATACATATTTATTATAATTAATTAATTTAACCAATTTTCTTAATATCCACATAAATAAATTTTCTAGCTTTTATATTACGGATTTGAGGTAGTGTATTAATGTACTCCTCCAACTTTTAATATAAGACCCATTTAACTAATTTAATTAGATTAAAGAAGTTAGATAAGTTAGTTAATTATAAGAAATGTGACACGTTTTTTCTAAAATACTATAATCATCTTTCTTAATATCCCATCTCCCTCTTCTACTTAATTATGATTGAGAGAGTATTCATATGGGTAATTTAGAGAAAATTGATAAATATAAGAAATAAGTCCTATATTTAGAATTAAAACCAATTTAATAATTGGGTCCTATATTAAGGACCGGAAGAGTATCATTTTAATAGTTGTCAAGAGCCAAAAGTTCAAAGAGACAAAATATTAATAATTTTCTTACAAAACAACAAATGTCATCCACCTTTTATAAGTTGTGTTTGGCCCCAAAAAAAATAATAATTTGCAAGCTATTTGACATGAGGTTAATGTCCCATGACTTTTATTTCGAGTCATTTATGTCGACCTTCTCGAGTTTATGAATAATCAGTTGTTTTGGCAAGTTAAATAATCAAGATAAGTAATTAATTAAGTACTAATAACAAGAACAAACTACTCTTACAGTCCTATTTATAAGTCAAATAGAAAACACATTTTTGGTCCTATTTATAGGTATTGATAGAAATTTTTTGTATGAATATACAATTTTATTTATCATTTATTATTGTGTTG